GAAGAGTCCTAGCCAATCAGAGTGTGATGGAACGTTCTAGAATTCCAACGTGGCGTGCTACTATTGGTCGGTAGCGTAATGTGTTGTTATCGGATTGGCTGTAAAATGATGTTGATTTAACAGATGCCAAAATCTATAAATACCCATGATTTTCTGTACAAAAATGAACCTTGGGATAAAGTATTTTCTCTTATACTTTTGTCTTCTCTCTGGTGTTCAAGTCGCTGTGTAGTTCTAGACTGCGGGTTACCGAAATAGCTTAGGAATCGTATATAGCGTTCAACCTATACGACTTATCAACACGTACGCGCGAAAAAACACAATGCAGGCGAAAAAAGTGGAAAATAAACAAATATACACGTAATATCGATAAAAAAAATTTTTTAATGTTTTTTTTCTTTTTAAAATAAACATATAAATATATAAGCATATTGAAATTGTGTTTCTTTAAATATTACATATGGTAAAAAGAAAAATCGAGATAATATAAAATGTCTAGTAGCGCTTTACGTGCAATAATCGTTTAAATGTTCTGAAAATCTTACTCTTCTTCCAGAACGCGTCGTCTTAATTTATTTTCTGATACTATTGAAGTATCATCGTGTGTGTTGCCTGTCGGTTGGGGTATTATAAACGTAGGAGTCGTGTTGTGTGATTGTAAAGTAAATCGACGTGAGTAGGATTTCCTTCTAAATACACTACTTTGAGGCGATCGATGCTGATGCTATCGTTGGTTCCGTTCTGATCGACTATATAGTACTTAGATTCACGTTGAAGAAATTTGAATCATCCTTCGAACGAAAGCGTGTGTACTACATCGTAATTCAGGATGAACGAAAACGTCAGTTGATTGAGGTCGAGTGGAAACAGGTTTAACTGAACGCATTGAGTTTGTAAGCCTGTTCGTGTAGGAGGTTAGATCCATGTTCATTGAAGAGATCGAAAGATCCACGAATTATCCTGGAAGTCGAAGTGTCGTTCCATAAACGAGTTGAGCCGCAGTGTATTCAACGTCAGCTTTCACTGAATTGTGAATACCTAGTAAGACGAGTGGAAGAATGTTGGTCCACAGTGAAACCTTTGCAGCTGATAGTGAAGCTTTTAGTTGTCGGTGAAAACGTTCTACCAACCCGTTTGCTTGTGGGTGGTAGGCGGTCGTTCGGAAGCGAGTGATTCCAATAAGTGTAGTCAGGCGACGGAAAAGTTCAGATTCAAACTGACGTCCGCGGTCTGTAGTGATGGTTGAAAGGCAGCCGAACATTGATACCCATCGTTCGACGAAGGCGCGGGCCACTGTTTCATCAGTGATGTTTTTGATAGGTACTGCTTCTGGCCATCGAGTGAACGGTCTACACAGGTTAGGAGGTAAAATTATCCATTTTAATCTGACAAGTGTCCTCCCAAATCCAGATGAACATGGTCGAAACGGACATCAGCAGTTTTGAAAGAGCCTAAGGGACATTTATTGTGTCTGATAACCTTAGATTTTTGACAGCTTACACAGGAGCGTGCCCGATCCCTCACGTCTTTATTCATGCCAGGCCAGCAAAATCGTTCTGCTATAAGCTTGATGGTTGCACGAACACCTGGATGAGAAGGTTTGTGCAACATATTGAATACGTTGCGTTGATAACGTTTCGGCACGATTGGGCGATCCCTACCTGTAGATGTGCCACAAAGTAAAGTTTCCTTACCTGTTTCCATCTGTTTGACGAGTAGCTTGAGGGTTGTGGACGATCACTCGTGCTGAAGATCAGTGTCTTCTTTTTGAAGCTGGGCGAGTTTCAGAAGGTCGATTCCTTGGAAACTGTTCAAGGAAGTTATGCGAGATAAGGCGTTTGCAACTACATTGTTTGCTCCAGAAATGTGTTGAATATCTGAAGTAAATTGCGAAATGTAGTCCAGCTGTCAAGATTCAAGAGGTGAGTACTTGTCTGAAGAGGAGCTAAATGAGAAAGTAAGAGGTTTATGGTCAGTAATAAGAGTGAATTCACGGCTCTCGATGTAGTGTTGAAAATGCCGTACAGCAAAATACATAGCTAGGAGTTCCCTACCGAATGTGCTCGATTCGGTGTCTAGCAACCGTCTAGATGAAAATAGCAAAGGTTGCTAGGAGTTGTTAACCCATTGTTCTAAGACCTCCCCGATTTCTGAGTCGGATGCATCTACTGCGATGCTAATGGGTGCTTGAGTGTCCTGATGTGCAAGCATTGTTGCTTTAGCGATCAGTTCCTTAACTGTGGAGAATGCTTATCGTGCGGTGTCGTCCAAATTGATGGCTATAGCATTTCCACGAAGTTGGTCGATAAGAGATTTCATGAGTAACGCTCATTTTTTTATAAATCGCCTATAGAAACTTACAAGTTTGTTAAACGTTCGTAATTGATTGATCGTGGTCGGTTCTGGGTGATTCAGAATGGCCACCACTTTACTTCTAAGAGATTTGATGCCTTGCCCATCTGTAGTGTATAATAGTAAGTCTAAGGAGTCAGCTCCGATTTGGCATTTCTGGACATTTACATTAATGACGCGTTTTTTACAGCAGGTCAAAAATAAGATCCAGGTGCTTGAGATGTGATGCTCTGTCCGGACGTGCAATCAGGCAGTCGTCAACATACGCATGTACGAAGTTGAGATCTCGAAAATCGTCGTCTATGAACCTTTGGAATGCTTGGACAGCGTTTCTTAGACCGAAAGGCGTTCGCGAAAATTCATAGAGTCCGAAGGGAGTAATGATAGCTGTTTTCGGTATGTCGTCAGTGGCCATGGGAATTTGGTTATACGCTTTAACCAAGTCGATTTTCGAAAAGACAGTTGTACCTTTCAAGGTAGCTGTCAAATCGTGAATGTGAGGCAACGGGTAACGATCGGGAATGGTTTTCGCATTCAATCGCCGATAGTCACCAGTTGGACGCCAATCGTTGCTGTCCTTTTTAGGGACCATGTGCAACGGAGATGCATATGGGCTGTTTGACGGTCGTATGATTCCTAAGTCTATCATGTGATCGAATTCGTTTTTCGCTAACCTTATCTTTTCAGGGGATAGTCGTCGTGCTTTATAGAATACAGGTGGTCCTGTAGTCGTGATGTGATGTGTAACATTGCTGGTTACAAACGGGAGTTTCGGTTGAGTTTGTTGTATCCCAGGGTACTTATCGAGTAGTGGTTGATAGAGTGGGTCTATCGCATGCTTAACTGTGACTGGGGATAATCTGCAACCAGAAAAAGAAGTAACACAAAAAGGTAAATGGTGTTTCCGTCGATTAGCCTCCGTTTACGCGTATCGATTATTAAATTGTGGTGTTGTAGAAGATCCATACCAATGACTTGCACGGATACATATGCAACAACGAAGATCCAGTGAATGGTTTGCGTAAACCCACGTTAAGGTAAACGTACCTTTTGCCATACGTAGCGATAGGCTTTCCGTTTGCTGTCTGTAAGTTTAAAACCAATTCGTGAAGCCAGCCGCTAGAGTTCGCCGGGAGAATGTTATATTCTGCGCCAGTATCTACGAGGTATCGAACCCTCGTTGTCACATCTGTGACGTATAACAGACGGCTATGTTCGCCGGCTACGGTTACCGTTCACGCGTGCCCGCTTGGAAGTTTCCCGAGTTGTTTTTCGTGTCGGTGGAATTTGAGTTGGGAAAATTGCAGTGTTGTCTGTGATTTCTGGAAGACTTTCCATACTGGTTATGATACCAGCACCAGTCGGGGTTATCCGTCTCTCGTGGTCTAGAGACAGATCGTTTACATGAAATGCTTCTACGTGTGCTGTGTGAGCGATTACGGTCGCTAAGAAGATTAAGATAACGCGTGAGTGTATGACATAACTCTATTATGGCATTCTGGGTCGTCTGACGCTTTTCTTTGACCGAAAAATACCTCGGTAGTAGAAGATTTTGTGTTTTTTAAGATGCGGTCAACAGAAGCAGCTAGCTCGTCTAAGGCGTTGTTCTGAAACGAGACCGGAACCGCTTGCACCTGTTGAGGAAGTGTTGAAAAGAAAAGTTGTTTAAATAGGCTATCACCGAAAGTTCGTTAGCCGATAACCTCTTTCATCCGTTGCAACATATCCGTCGCAGAACCGTGTTGCAGTTCGATGTTAAAGCGGAGCTGGTCTAACATTTGTCTATCGGTTAGGTCTCCGCGTTTAATAATAGAACGTTTAAGTATTTTGTAAGGTTCAGAAACATCACTAGTAAACATACTAGGTGTTACGTAACTGTTGAATTCTCGCGGTAGTGCCTTGACCACTGCGAGGAATTGTGCATATGTGTCGATCAAGCCGTGCTCGTGGAAGTCGGCTTCTGGTTAGCAGAACCAGGCTTCGATGTCTGGCCAGAAGGGCATCATTTGGAACGAAGGTGGGGAAAAAGTCTCAAACTTAAGTACTTTGGGTGTCTGTTCAGTCTTGATGAAATATGAAGTACGATAATGAACGAGGGAAAAAATATATATCCAAAAACGCGGGGAAAAATATCACAATGTATAAAAAATCAAGGCAATGATATATAGTATCTCAAATAGGAACAGACTCACAGTTTAGGATTTGGTGTAACAAATCACGCCGGGCTCACTAATGAAGATGGCACAGGTATTCAGTATTTGACAACGCTTTTACCAGTGACACCTAATCTAACTCGTACTCTCCAAGAGAAATCAAAAGACAGAATCGAGGAGATCAGAAGTTGTATTTGACGATTGCCAATATATCGGAATTGTCTGATCTAGTCCGTCTAGTGATTGCAGTAAATGTTGAGCACGGCGTTCCCGCACGTGATCTGGTGCGGATGCATGACCGAGCGCCTTCAGCTAGTTGAGTCCACTAAAACTAATCTGGTCAGCATCAAATGTCGAAAACTTACAGAGCTATTTATTTTGGGGATTTATTCACTGCTACAGGATTACCAATTAATCAAATTAGTCGGTTAATACAAACTCGTGAGAAAGATATTGGATAGTGGACAGCTCACATATCACTAGCGCAAAGTCTAAGTATTCTTAAATTCAAGGACGCAGGTGACTGACACGCTTGAAACTAGAAGAGAATATTGTATTAATCTCACTTTCGTGTTATTAGTGGTTGTTGTCATTTCCCTTCGTTTTTAATGTAAATCCATTTTATTTGCTTAATGAGTCTTCGGCTCATTTTCCCTCTTGTTATCTTCCAGATAATCTAACTGCTCCTAACATTCTCCCAACACACAAGGTATTTTCAGGCTAGACGCAAACCTACCAAAAATTGGACGTTACAACTGTAGCTCGCGTGAGGACTTCTCAAGTCTAAAAACCACTAGGCAACGTGGACTTACTTGATGGCTTTGTGAAATGCGTGTCACACGGCATTTTCATATGGATATTATTTCTTTTTCTGATTTGTAATGATCAACAGAACTCCGAAAATACTGGCTACTACTCATAAATGTGTATTCAGAAGTACTTCATTCTCCCAACTTTTAGCCAGTAAGTCAGTATGCGGAGTGTTTTCCAGTACATTTCATAATGTAAATGGCAGGCAAAAAATCCTTTACAAACCTGGTGATTTACTTCATTTTCACCCAACTGGAGCTTTAACTTTGAGATTGCAACACTCTCATGGTCCTTCAGATAATTTATCAAATCCAGCTTTGGAACAAAAAGCAGTAAGTTAAATCATGAAATTCCCACCAATTTAGTGTTGCTTTCTTGTGTAATCGAATGAGTAAATGGAAAGGTTTATATGACTGTCTCATTATACTTAAAAAACTTCGTTAGTATAACTTATGAACAATGGTTACATTTATGAGATTGCTATGGGATTAACCCTGACCGTTGTTGCTACCTTGACATGGTGGTCGGGCTTGCCTATCGTGATCAAGCAACCGAGCTATACTGGCTGGATCAACCGTTCCTCAAGGTCCTACCATGTCAGACAGGTCGGTTGAAGAGCGTTAAGACTAAAAGCAACAAACACAAGGTCCGAAGGCGAAGTCGTACTGCTGACTGTACCGAGGTGTGACAACAGTAAGGTGTTTCCTTCAGACGACCAGCATGACAGCGATGCTGCCTTCCCACAAGGAGGGTTGGGGATAGAAAAGGTCGATCCTAAAAATGCACACCTCACCTTATCCCACGGATATCCGTCTCCGGCGGTAAGGTCTCAACAAGTACGGAGCTAACACAAAAATTACTCATAAAAAGGTCGTGTGTGACCGACCTCAAGCAGTTGTCTCTTGGGCACTGCGGTCACGCTCTCAGGTCACTAAGACCACCTCTAATCCAGTTTCCCTTTCAGGTACCTCCAGAAGAACCCTTCCACGGTGTGGGCATCCGCGAAGTGATAACCGCCCTCATACCTCTAACAGCACTCAAGACCACTGAATTCATAATCAACCTCCCTCTTCAATTCCTATTATTCCTCCTACATCGACTTTCATCTCTAAATGTCCCCTTTCGGCTTCCTCCTCAAGTGTCACCATAGCCAACGATTCTAGTGCTCAAAACACTGTCCGAAGTCTACTGAAACCTCGCTCCAAATTACACATTGGAGCCTTCAACGTACGAACCCTATGTCAAATCGGTCAACAGGCTTCCTTGGCTAAAATCCTAGAGTCTCTTACCATTGATGTGTGCTGTGTCTCCGAAACACGCATACAGGATCCCAGTGTGGTTATTCACTTGACCTCACCTCGGCAAAACGGAGAGCCAAAGAGATACATCCTCCGTGTATCTGGTGACCCGATGGACAGTTCTCGTGGACTGGCAGGTGTAGGCGTAGCACTAAGCATGAGGGCCGAACAAGCACTGCTAGAGTGGATCCCCGTCAACAGTCGTCTATGTGCTGTTCGGCTAAACGGCTACGTAAGAACTCGAAAGGATAGGGTCACACGTCGTTGCGTTTTCGTCGTTTCTACCTACGCTCCCACTGACTGCAGCTCAGATGAAGTGAAAGATGAATTTTACAGAAAGCTGTCCAAACTTCTTCAGAAAGCTAAACGTTCAGACATAGTGCTCGTGTGCTGTGACTTTAATGCTCAGATAGGTAGTTTAAACCAAACAGAAATGCATTTAGGTGGATATTTTAGTATTCCGGCACAACGAACAGATAATGGTGATCGTCTGCTGCAACTATGCTCGGACAATCGTTTATATTTAGCAAACGCAGATTTTAAGCATAAGGAGAGATATCGTCTAACATGGCGACCCCCTACACCAAACCAACGATGGACTCAAATAGACCATATTGCCATCAGTCATCGTTGGAGAGGGTCGGTACAAGATTGTCGCTCATTCTGAAGTACCTGCTTGGACTCCGACCACTGGACGCAAAAAAGCCACATTGAAAAGACCCGTTAGAACTGAGTTGAGTAACGAGAAAACCAAAAGTAAGTTCCAGGAACAACTGAGGTCACACTTAGGTAGTTCTGAAGACGAGGCTGACCTAGATGTTGCTTGAAATGGCATACAATCAGCTGTGGAAACAGCAGTGACATCTATTAGTGACTTAAACCACAGAGTTACAAGGAACCAGTGGATTTCTTCAAGGTTTATCACACTGATCGATTCTCGCAAACTCATCCCATTAGGTTGTGAACATGGTGAAGAGCGTAAACAAATCAGATATAGGTTAAGAAAAAGTCTAAGAAACGACCGTGAGCAGTGGTGAATAACGAAAGCAAAAGAGATGGAAAAGGCGGCGACTATAGGGAACACAAGACAGCTCTATAGACTAATAAAAGAAACTGGAATTAACAAGTCAAGTGCAAGTGAGGTTATTTCGGCAAAAGACGATACTCTCATCTGCTCCCACTCCAGACGTTTAGAACGATGGGCGGAACATTTTAGAGAACAGTTCAACTGGCCTTCAGCTACTCTACAACTACCCTCCATTCCCAGACAATGTGAATGGAACATTGAAGTAGGTCCCCCAACTCTTGCTGAAGTTGAGAAGGCTATAGTTGATCTGAAACGAGGAAGGGCAGCTGGTCCAGATGGATTGGCTCCAGAAGTCTTTAAGGATGGTGGTCCAATTTTAGCGGTTAGGTTGACTAATATTTTAGCTAAGATCTGGGAGTCAGATGTTATTCCATCTGACTGGTCGCAATCACTTATCGTTCCAATATACAAGAAAGGATCAAAATCATCTTGTGACAACCACAGAGGGATTAGTTTAACTAATATAATATCTAAAATACTAGCCTCAATAATAATCAGACGCCTAACTAAGACTCGTGAACTGCAAACACGAGAAAACCAAGCTGGCTTCAGACCTGGTCGTGGCTGCATCGACCACATGTTCACCATTCGTCAGGTTCTAGAACACAGGCATACTTATCGGCGTCCGACGATGGTGGTCTTTCTTGACTTAAAAGCAGCATTTGACTCGGTAGACCGCGAGATTCTGTGGCAGTGTCTGTCATTGAAAGGTGTACCCCAGAAGTACATAAACCTTGTAAAGTCTCTTTACTCGAACACTAATAGTCGAGTGAGAGCTTATGGCGAACTGTCATCTACTTTTGCAACCTCAAGTGGTGTCCGTCAAGGCTGTCCACTTTCTCCATTTTTGTTTAATTTCATCATAGACCTACTGATGGAAATAACATTCTCGTCGACTGAGTCCTCGGGTATTGATCTCCATCCAGGAGGTCCACTTATCGACTTAGAATACGCAGATGACATAGTCCTGTTTGGTGAAGACGCTGACAAAATGCAGTCTTTTGGTAGCACTAAGCAACAATGCCAGAATGTTTGGAATACACTCCTCTCCCTCTAAATGCAAGTTGTTGCTTCGGGATTGGCCTGCGTCAACACCTGAACTAAGGATAGTGAGTGAAGTAGTCGAACGCGTTGACAACTTCACTTATCTTGGAAGTCTGATCAGCCCTAATGGGTTGGTATCGGACGAAATCTCAGCACGGATTCAAAAATCTCGTTTGGTTTTTGCCAACTTACGTCACCTATAGCGAAGGCGAGATATCCGTCTATCAATAAAAGGACGAGTATACTGCGCGGCAGTCCGTTCTGTTTTACTTTACGGCAGCGAAACATGGCCTTTAAGATTAGAAGACACCAGTAAGTTACTAGTATTTGACCACAGATGCCTTAGAAATATTGCTGGCGTTTGCTAAGATCACCGGGTAAGTAATAGTGAGGTTAAACGCAGGGTATTAGGGAATGATGGTAAATCAGTTGATGAGGTTGTGAATCTTCATCTACTGAGATGGTTGGGCCACGTGTTACTTATGCCTGAACACCGATTACCACGAAGTGCAATGCTAACCGGTGTTGGAGATGGTTGGAAGAAAGTTAGGGGCGGCCAAACCAAAACGTGGCATCAGTGCTTGAAGACACTAACCTCTAGTCTGAGCCATGTTGGTAGATGCAGACTACTTGGTTGGGGTCCGCGTGACTTTCGTAACCGATGGTTGGAGACTCTTTGTGACATGGCTCAGAATCTATCACAATGGCGTCGGTGTATACACTCCCTGTCTTCCCTTAAACTAAGAGATTAAAATCACTTCATAACTTTCCTTCTTTCTACGAACTAATTCTTTCTTCCTATACTATATCCTTATATGCAATCTTTCTCCTATATAGTACCACCTTTGACCTAACCACTGTTATGAATCCGGTGTTCATCTTGTTGTGCTAATAAGGTATGGCAACCTGGACCGATGCACATATGTGCCTGGTCCTACGTTGTAGCTGACTGACTGACTATGAGATTAACACGTCATAAGTATTTTTAGTCTACTTTCATGAAATATCCTTGTTTAGTTCTATTTTGGAGTCAGTTTGTTTCGTTGGTATTTAAAAGCTTAGTCATGCTTGTGAAATCGTACAAAACTATGGAAGCACAGTAACAAATTGTAGAATATTATAGTATCTATTAAGTATTCTGGTCGCGTTCATAATTATGTATTGTACCCATTGTATGGAAAGCAAACCATTTGACCTAACTAGTGAGTAAGTTTTCAGTTCTCATCTACTCCATTAGGTTTGTTAGCAACCAAATATTGTTTCCTCTCTTAATGCGATGGCTCTCTGTACCAATAGGTGTGTCTGTTTCTTAACGATGAACATATCTTCCAATAGAAATGGTTGATAGCTCGAAACACTTGGCTTTTAGCGGTTCGGTTTCATATCGAAAACCGGATTAACATAATTTAATTTTGTCAGCTGTTTATTCTGGAACAGTACAAGCTTATTAACTGTCAGCCACAAATTTTCGAGTTCAGTGAGTAATAATTTCAAGAGATATACCTCACAAAAATCTCAATAGAGATTCACTGTTTTTATGTTCAGTCAGACATTATACTTATCCACTGCCCATTCATCCATTGTTTCCGTTTTCACTAATATCTTTTTCCTTTTGTGATATTGTGTGGTGTAAACCAGAACATTGTCATGTAAGCTTTTAGGCTATCTAATATTTTGAGATTTTGGGTCCAGAACTTTGTTTTGTGTTAAAAGACATCCTAAGGTTAAATATACTACACTACTTTACATTTCAATCAACCTATTTGACGAAATATCAACCGTCACATTGATTAAAATACGGGCTAGCTATCAGTTACTACGTAAGTTCTGTTTATTTCTATCGTTTTTCCTGAAGTGGAACTAATCAATTTTCAGCTTTTTGTTCTTGCAATTAAATCCGATTTATTTGTCTGCATTTTAATTTCATCTAGATTTTATCTGACTGGACTATTATTAGACGACTTCTAAAATATGTTTGGCCACAGGATAGGCCGGAAATCCGTTTGCGTGTAGTCGCGGCTATGTTGTTGTTATTATCTTCAAAATTTGTTAATGTTTTGGTCCCATTCGTTTTCAAATTTGCAGTTGACTGTTTGTCAGGAGAAACTCCACTACTATTAGGTGATACAAGTCCTAGTGTGGCAGCTACAACTATTTTAATTTCGTGTAAGAAATTCATTTCGTGTTTATTGGTAAGACTATAAATTTCAAATGGTATACTTAACCAACATATCTTTTGTAAGAAACAGTGAGTGAAGGTAACTGCATCATAAGTTTTACTCAATAATGGGCATGTCCAATAACAAATACACTTGATTTGAATGGAAGAGTCACCGTTTTCCCAAATATTTTATGCATATTTTCTGAAGACTGCAAAATTATTGTCATTAACATAGCCTTGTATTCTACAAAAAACTAATACATTATTTATTAACAGTAATTTTTATCAATACAAGTTTAGCATTAAAGGAGTTCTCATAGTATTATTCTAAGTCAAGTTGCTTAAATGCTATGTTCATGCTTTCACAATAATAATGTTCAGACATTTTCTGCTTTAATTGATTTTACTGCTATTCTTATCAGTGTGCTTGTATTAGAAAGCTGCACTCATTTGTTCAGCCATAGCTACTATGTATCAAGCATAAACTCATTATAATTCAGAACAATATGCTGGAGACAATAAGTAAAAGTACTTTGGCGATTTCTTAATATTTTATTAGCAGGTTTTGTTACAGTTTCGTTGTCAATAATCTAGATATTGAAAATTTTATTATGTTCCCTCCCCACTTTTGATATTACTTGTCTCGCTTTATGTTATGTTAAATAGTTTACAAAATTAACTCAATCTTATAATTAAATAAACAATCAAGTGTGTGTAAAATGTGCAATTATATGTCCAGACTTGATTATTCGAGTGAAAACGAAGTGACTAATATGACTAGAGTTGCGCGCTTAGTTATCATTTAATTTGCTGGTCTTATATACAGTCTAAATGGGTGAATGAGATTGCTTGAACTCTTTTATTCACTTTTTCATGTTGTAATGATCCGGACGGTATTCATAATCTATACAGAGCCTTGGATAAATGTCGGTTTAGCTAAGTTGCCTTACCACGAGAGCAGGACAAGATGTAGTTACATACAACTATGTATAGTCAGTTTGTAATGTGACTCCCTCCTTGTTAAGTGCAATGAGATTAAGGATATGTTTATAAAATGTAGTTGTAGAAAGTATTTACTTTCGTGAATACTATAAGTAAGCCAAGACATTAACGATCTATAGGAAACGTAACACAGCACAAATCTCTATCGACCCAGAATTGGCATTGATGTCATTGATAATGGAACGAATACTAGGAATAATAAATACAGTTTAAAAACAAGGAACGAATTCGCGAAATAAGGAGTATCAGTTCATATTAAAGATAAGATTATAATGATAGACAGAGAATGGATGTATCTGCTTCATTGTGCCCTGTCACCCTTTATCGATTGTAATTACCTAGATCTATTCACTTCTTTTATTTACAAAATAATTTACTGAAATCAACTTGTAGTTACGGATCCCATCAATTGTTTGCCTCTTTCTTTCATAAGTTTGTCTGGTAGCTTCATGTCTTGTGTGAATTTTTTGTAATACTGAAAATAAGAGCAATTTAAAGTGATGCATATCTCCGAATTAAAAGCACTTGTGGTGACGTAGTTCTTATTTATTCAATATGACTAGTGTGTCTTATTACTCTTCAACGTTTTATATAACACCGGCTGATCCGTTCACTTAAATTTATTTACGGTAAATAATTGTAACGACGGCTTTATGGTAAAGAGGCGTGCCAGATTTTCAACTATGGGAACACAGGTTGGAATGCTACCTCACTCGTGTCGGTTTAACTTCTCATTATGGTGTTACTACCTGTCTAGTAAAAAGTCTTATTCAGAACTAAGTGCAAAATACTTGTAGTTACATCGAGTACATAAAGGTAGTTTGTCCCAAATTCTAAATTCATTACTATTTACGACCGTTTCTAGTTCGTCCTTTTTATTCCTATTTATAATCCTTTCAACCTATCTTCTGTTTTGTTCACAGATGGTTTGTTTAGAGCTACTGCTTCTGGTTTAAATGAATTACGTACTGCAGTTTTTGCTAAAGCTGCTCTTTCTTCAATTCGAGAAGTCGGAGTTCAAGTATTTCGACATATGCACAATCTTGATTTAAGTTATCATCTTGGAAGAAGAACTGGAGCATTAGGTAAAGCAATTGATCGTGGCGCTAGGGGAATAAATTTTATATTGACTGCTATGGTTTTCAATTTATTTCCTACTACATTTGAAGTTGCTGTTGTAACAGGGATTTTGGTAAGATTGTATCTTATTTCTCGTTTTTACTTAAAAGTGTAAATGTTTTCTGTGCTTTTATTATAGAAAAGTTTATACTTCTTAATAAATTATCAACAAAATAATGTTTTTGCCGAAATGTTTGCTGTTTACTCTTAGTGGTTTCTGTGAAATCAAGAGTAAACTAATTAATGATTATTACATTCATGAATTAAAGCTTATCTTTGGAATTGTGAATTCTTTGCAAGTTTTCTTAACTGATTCTCAAGATTATAGCATGTAATGTTATAAATGATTGTTTTGCAACCAGTTTAACTGTAATCAATTTTTCAGTATTCAAAAGAAAGTTATTGTTATGACTTCATGTTCGGCTTTTATCATGTGATTTATCCACCAATCAGAATACGACTTATACAATCTTAGCACTATGCCAAGCCAGTGACGTTCGACTGGTATGAGCAGCCTAGCGTCCTTATTGGTCCTATGTCCGCCTAGCCCGTCCACTTGAGTTCAGAACACAATACCAGCTTCTGCAATATTAATCGAATTGTTTATTTCAGATATACTCAGTTTATATATCAACCAGACAGACCACAACGTACCATAAAATAGAAAATAACATTTGTACAATATTTGGCCAAGTGTGGTTGTAAGCGTGGGAAGCAGTAGTCAATAAAATGAACATAGCTTAAGAACCGTAAATCGTGCATTAATAAATTATGGGTCAAGATGAAGCTTATAATAAGAGGAATATAAATATACATAATCCAATTATTGAATAGTTATATAATAAGAATATTTATAGAATATTTGTCCATTAATAGTCTTCGGAAGTTGCCCGTAATTTAATCTTCACTGGGATATAACAGTCATGTATTATTTGTTTTACTGAAACAAATTCCTAGTTAACTTATCATTTGGCAAGCATAAATGAAATTAATACTGTAGATAAATTTCATCATTAAAAATTTCCCATCATTGGCTTTATATCTTGTAAAATATTTCGGTGTTGTATATGCTAAATACTTTCGATTAATTTTGATATTTTTATTGCATTAAATGGTTAGTTATGTAACCTTTGACTGCGAAAAATTTTATTTTCAGTTTTATCGATAAACAAAACTAATTATTAATTGACTTTTGACAACTATATAGTTTAGTGTTTAACGTTTTGCGCATTGTACAATATTAACATTTAAGCTCACATTATTTATTTGTAAATTATTGAAACTTATACCAATTTTAAGTGTGTAGCGATGACTCGATATTTGAAACATTCACATCTCAGTCACTAAGTCACAGGTTTTAATCTTACTCCACTTACGTCAATTCCAACAATCACGTGGTATAATCAGCCCTCACACAATTAGAATATAGCCCGAAGTAAAGTAGGTAAATCTGTACTTGATGCTGAGTAAGTGCCTAATAAATTCGTTCACTCATCTTACTCCTTACTAAATAATCTAAAAATAGGATAATCCATTGAAACATATATTTCAAGCCAATATATCAGCCCTTATGAACGAAAAAATGAGATAACAAAAGATTCCATGACATTTTGTAGGTAGTTCAAAGACTTTCACTCATGCTTTACCTATATAATGAAGTATAGATTATTGAGAACAATAACTTTATGGCTATCTGACTGGAGAGTGTTATTAATTTTTCTTCGTACATTTCAAGATTAGTTTTATGATGTCATGTAATTTTCAGTCATACGATCTAATGCATTATTACTTATATCTTTAATGGTAGATTGGTTTAAGAAAATAGTAAAGCAATTTTCTCAAACCCCTGGCTCAGTAGAAAATATGAATTGATGGTAAACAGTAACTTGTCACTGGAAATTTCATTTTTGTCATTAAAAGTCAACTCAAATTTATTATTATTTAAACACAAATATTGGTACAAAGGAACAAAATGATGTAATTGCACCACACAATAAGAAAGTGATATTGTAAAGGGATAGTGAAAGGAACGTGAGTATAATAAACTTTAAGAAACAATAGGTAAATGAAAATGAGTGAATGGGTAAAAACGAATAGTAGTAGTTCAGTTAAGAAAAATACAACCAGAAAGAATCTTTTCAGTTAAAATTCACTCATATGAAGAAAGTGAAAGAAACTTACAGAAGCACCGTCACTGGCTTTGATTCTGAGCCCATGTCTGATAATGTTTCGAGTCATTGTGTTGCGCTATCTCTAGGACCTTAACTAGGCAGTCGTGAAGGAATGACAGATACCAGTCCTGTACAGCTTTCTTTTATACAACAGTACAGTGTTATAAACTGACCACCTCTGCTTTTTACAACCAGTCCCAGCGTCGGCAAATAATGCACGATGTGGGGTTTGCTGGAACAACATTCGTAAGACATGTCCAAGGCACCGACGTCGGTGTTTCAAGATAGTGACACCAATCGAATTATCGTAGCTGTGCCCGAACATACGATGCCGCACCTCTGCATTACTAACATGTTGTTGTTACTGGATGTCATCGATCCTTCGGAGACATTCGCCCATTCACATGTACAGAGAAGGACTACGCTCACTAATGCATGTAAATCAACTCCTTAATACACTTCGACCATTAGGTTTCTTAGTGTTCATACAAACTTTCCAAGCAATCAGTTTTTTGTTACACCACGACAAACAATCGTTACTGGTTAAGGTTGCACAATAATTGTGACATATAACTGGGGATTTTGGGTGAGGTTCATTTAAAGAGTGAGTTCAATATCATCGCCCGCATTTTTCATTCTCCCAATTGTTCAAATTAACAGTTAATAGATCCATGAACTGATACTATGTCGCCCCCAGTCTTTTTCTAACCTGCACTTAGTAAGCATTTTACATTGGGTTAAGCGGTGACTACGAATGCGTAATGCTGTGGTCTTAGCCACCGACAAAAGTAATGAAGAATGAAAAGGTTCAAAAGTTATCAGTATTATAAGAGAAAAGTCAGGAGAGGATTTTTTTAATCGACAGGAGAGAGGCAGTAAGGCTAACAATCAAATATAAAATTGTTAAAAGTTGGATTACCAAGTGTATCATTAATTTATACATTAATACATATCATTCAACACTAGACAGAATTGTACCGCTAACTACTGTTTAGTAGTTACCTGTTAAATAGCTGTGTATAAATAGATGTTTGAAAATTTTATTATGTATTTGGGTATAAAGTGTGTCTTTTAATTAATAGTCTTTTTCACGTTTTAAATTTTCGTCTTTCTATCTTATATAAAGGTAAATATCTTCAGTACTTTTTATTTATTCTGATATACGAAGGGATGAAATGTGAGCCTTCACAAATTATATCTGAGTATTGCATCCTAATTCCCGCTTTTTATGTTGTTTTCTTGTTTAGTATTATAAATATGGAGTAGCGGCCAGTACAATTGCACTAAGCTGCATAGCTGCTTATACAGCATTCACATTTGCTGTTACACGTTGGCGTACTCAATTTCGTGTTCAAATGAATAAGGCAGATGGACGAGCTGCAAGTCAAGCTACTGACTCACTTATTAATTATGAAACTGTAAAAGTAAGAGTAACAATGTATTATTTCTTTTAAATACATAGTATATGGACATCAATTATGGTCGGAAGTCGGTCTCTATAAGGTTATTTAATAGAATCACTAATTTGTTGAGTCTGCTAATAATAACTTCGCTTACGTTAGTCATCCCAGTGCTACTAATATGCTAACCCTGACTGGCCCACGAAACTCGTTTCTGCCCCTAGCCTTTCTAATCAAAACAGGAACAATTCCAACCAGTTTACTATGTTTATCTTTAACTTAAACTCACATGATAATATACATGAATTACAATACTGAAACGCACCATAAATATAAGAGCACAATCCACGAATAGCTAGGTCATTTGTAGTACAAAACTGAATAACACGTACATTAATTAACTGTAATTTATGAATGGTAAAAGATATACCGATAGTTGAATAAAAGCTTACAAGTATGGAAATACGGAAGCACCAAAAGCCTAAATATACTTAATTAAAAGTCTTCAAAGTTCCACTTTTTCACTTATTCACCTATATCTAATAATTTACTGTCACTTATATTTCGTTATTATTTTCTATTTCTACTGATTAAGCAAACAGTACACTCTGGTCCACAAGTTAAATTTAACTCAGTTTAATTTGGGGTGGTGAAAAACGTGTTTCGAGTGCAAACGAGCTGTGACAATCACTCACGCATTTGTGGTAACATTCATAGTCACCTTGTTCACAATCACAAGTTAAATTACCTTACTTTACAGAGATCTGTATTTAATATAAAGTGCAGTAGCTTTTGGATCAGTCGTAAATTGTGTTTTTTTATTGCACCTTGAAAATTAGAACAGATATGAAAGTTACCAATGCGATGAGTTGGTGACTATTTACTCCAATGAGAAACACTAAAGCTTTGATAAGCCCCTTTTACAATTTTCGTTCTGCTTTTTGTAACCCTGCTATGGTTGATTAACAACCTATTAACTTCTCGTTATTTTTGAGAATTGCTTTCATAATTATTTTTTAGTACTTCAACAATGAAGAGCGTGAAGCAGAACTTTATGACAAACTTCAAGCTCAATACGAAGAGGCCAGTATTAGAACAACAACTAGTCTAGCTGTACTTAACTTCGGTCAGGCTGCTATATTCTCTGTTGGCTTAGCTGCTACAATGATAGCAGTTGCAAATCAAGTTACTTCCGGTATAACCGATCCAGCAACAGCTGCTCATGTTCTTGAAGCCACTGGGATAAGTAGTTTAGCTAAATCTTTGACTGTGGGAGATCTTGTTCTCGTAAACGGATTATTATTCCAATTATCGATACCATTGAATTTTTTGGGTACGGTATATCGTGAAGTACGGCAATCTTTAATTGATATGTCAACTATGTTTACACTATTAGAACTTGCTCCAACAGTTCGTGTAAGTTAGTGTTTGTACTCTTTAAAAAGTAATTTGGTTGAAATTTCGATGATAATTTTCGAGGTAGTATTGTTTCGTGATGGAAGTCATCTTCAAAATACACCCAGTTCTGTTTAGCCCTCTTAACCTACTAGTGTTCATATTCTCAATAGGAAGTAACCTCTCAATGTGGAATTCTCAGATTTCTTATGAGAACTAGTGGTGTGTGAGAGTGAAATAGTTTTAGCTAACTGTGAAACTACTAGGTAAGGATCATGCTGTCATACTATTTGATTGAAGTTAAAAAAACATCGGTCATTGGATAGCAATTTAATAATATTTCATTGATATCATACTCTCCACAAGATCTAAAAATTATTATTTCAATCACATGCACAGTCCATAGTCATGCATTACAAAGGAGTTCTGAAGCCCATGGACCAAACGGCTTTTCAATTTTCCTTGATCTTCAGTGTAGGTATCATTGCCAAGGTTTGATTTGAGCATTGATTAGATTGTTAGAAATAAATAATTTATTTGTAATATCTCAATGAGCAGAAAACTTATGTTTTCTGACGTTTCGTGACTTAGTGTAAGCCACTTCAGAGAATATATAACCAAATTCGGTTATTTATTCTCTAGATCTTCAATGGTTCTCGACCTGATTTCATGTCGTAGCAAAAATTACTTTCAAAATGGAAAAAAACCTTTGCGAAGCCGTCTCACGTCACTATATGGTAATTTCTATCCTAATAAGTAATTTGATGATTAGTGAGCACTCTTACAGATGTAACATACAAGCTTAATACGTATACAACATAAATTAAAGTAACTCTGTGTAATCTGATCTACGTCTAGAGCCGTTACGAGGTTTGTCTGTTCACAAATAAACCTAGTGTACAACGGCAATTCTCATAAGCACTAATTATTCAAACACATAAACATTGGTACAAAGAGGTACCAAATATATATGCGGCACATAGATCATTCGATTTGTTTGAGGACTGGAGTACTACACGAGTGCAGACATTGAAATCCTTACGATTACATCACTCATCTCGAAAAAAACAATTCCACCAAAGTTATCCTCCTAAACTATAAATCTTTACTACCTAATAATTATTTAAGTGATAATGTGGTATGTGTTACTGATGTCGACAAATATAAGTAGTATGTATCACCGATTGAAAGTGGAATGCCTGGCATTCGAAGGTTGAGAAAATCGAAGATAAGAGAACGAGAACAGAGAGTGATTGGTATTGAAACGGAGGAACAGTTAAGTCTGGGCCAATTGATGTATATTTTGCAAATGAAATATTTACTGTATGGTTCTCATATTCTACCAAGATATTCTGTAATTTTGTGTTTAACTACATTTGGTTGTCTCCGCCTCCGTCTACGTTCACTACAATAGGACTAAGTAGTTTATCTTTCGTTTGAACAACCAGTTCAAATTAACCAGAAAACAACTAACACAGATCCTCTGGTCAGACTATACATGTTCAAATTAACGAGCTAGTAAATATACGCTCCCTCAAATGAAAGATGTATATAAACAGGCTTTTAAGCTCACACGAAATGTGATTTTGTTAAATACTGTGTTGTTGCTTACAGTAATAAAATAGTTCTTTTCCATAAATGGAAAACAACTATGAAGTTCAAGTCATTTATTTGATAATTTTAGACTACAATCTGCATTGATAAAACGAACCTAGTTTTTATTGATCATATTTTTTTGATCCCCTATTTTTTTTAAAACTTGACCTGAAATTTTTTTTAATAGAAATTCCTTTTGACTATAGGGTGAAATTCATTGACATCAATATATATTCTTGAGAAGTAGCTTTTTAAGGTTAATCTGTTTTAACTTATTGAATGTTAAAATATACATCAGTTCTTTGTTTTCGATATATTCAACTCTACTTTAATATTCAAATTTACATTGGAAATGTAGTTACATAGTTGTTTTAAACTATAGTTTAATATGCGTTTATCTAAGGTAAATATGTTATAAAATATGTTCGAAACCGATGTTTTAAAATGATTTCGCTTATCAGTTTTTCGATGTTAGTTTTAAACTTTTTTGTTTCAGTTTAAATCCAATCATTACTACTTTTTAGTAGAGACTAACTGATACTTTAAACACGAAGTCATGTTACTGTATTTTTTAATGGTAGCAGAACCCCCAAATGCCCTAGTATGGCCGAGAGTGGGGAGAGTTCGCTCTCCCTCTCGAAATGCTCTCACATGGCCACGCGTATATAGCCTCTGCCAGGGAAGTCCTATTGACTCCCTTCTCGTGGCGGGGGTGTTGTTTGCGAAAATGAGAGGACGAAAAGCGAATGTCCGGCGCTTTAACCGGATCACAAACTAATGGTGCACATGGGCTCCAGTATCCTGCGGGAACAAATGGCGTATGAACCAATCGTTGGTCACCGTCTACCATGGGATTGCATCTCCTTACGATGCTCCACTGCCTTGTGGGTTAGACCATTAGGTCAAAGGCTCGGGGTGTGGCCCCCTAAGAAAACCACCTGCTTCGGTTTGGGCACCCGGGCAGTATCATAGCCCTCACACATATCGAATGAGATTTGTGTGGCGCATATGTATTTGATGCCTCTTTGTACCAATATCTATGTGTTAAAATAAAATAAATAAATGGTAGCACGAACTCTACCTACTCTTAACTGTGTGTTAACTTTAAGTAAACAATAAAATTATGATTATTGGTTTGATTAATTTAGCCAGGTATATTGATGAATGTGCAATTCACTATTTCTATTTTCAGTTGAGATTGATAATGGTTAGCAGTGTAATTCAAGATACGCGTTTCCTCCTATTTGGAACTTGTCGGCTAGATGTACCTGCATCCCAGAGTGAGCATCTACTCTGGTCTACAGGCACACTCATTTGACGAGTCCCAAATAGGATAAGACGTGCTTCCTGGATTCTATTGCTAACCACTGTTCATCTTAAATTGCTTGTTACTTAATGAGAGATATGGAGGCAATCCACATAGGATGTACATATGCCGAAAGTGACTGATCAGTTGTAGTTCTGAACATTAATGCAAAAATCCAAACAACCAGTTTTTATGAATTAATATTTCTTCTGTGAACAAAAACATTCACTAATTGATCTTCTGTCTTCTTATTAGAAATTTAAATATCGCAATATCTTATATTTCGGGTACTAATCTATCAGAAGGAAATTCGTTTTGTTTTTCAATAGCGGCTATGAGTATTGTCTACTTTTTCCAATTAACTTTTGATCATAGTTTGCTTTCCATCAGATTTCGCGAAAGTATTAGTTAAGATTTCACTAGCATTCAGTTTACAGAAGCGTAACAATAAAAAAATCAGAATTTTTTCACATTTTTTATTTTTAACATAAAATAACTAACTAACTTACTTGGCACAGGTTTATGTACTTGGCTTCGAGTCACATTCCAAGTGTTGAGGGCTAGTCAGCCGCTTGTAACGTAGAACCTAGGACATTTGTACATCGGTTCAAGTTTCCCCATCAAATTAGCACAATCAGATGGAATTATCAAAACAAACCATAGAGTAGTAGAATTGGTAACAATATCAGTAATAGTAGAAAAGATCAAGTATAGACAACATGATTCGAGAAGAATGAGTTCGTGCAATAAAAAAAAGTATAAAATTATTATAAAACTCAGAATTTAGCGGAAAACACAGTGAATCGATCCGCGTCATTAACACTGATTCTGAGCTCTGTCATTCAACATCTTTAAATATTACTTACGATAATCACATGAACCTTAATTAGATTGTCTGAGCCTTACCTACACCATGGCTCAAGTCTACCAGTCAATGACTTTATTGACTATCTTCCACATTAGTCTGATTTCTAGCCACGTTACCTTCATTAACTTATGAATTGATTTTAATTTATATGGTGTTTTTGTTTGTTTAATGTCATTTTATTGTAAATCAAACAATGATCACTTGTTTTCTATGTGTTAACTGATTTAATTACTTTATTGTTCTTTCAAATACACATGAAAATTGGATGGCATGATTATAGTCCTTACCGAATGCACCAAATATACACATTGATCGTTCTAATTCATCTGTAGAATTTCGTGATGTAAAATTCACTTACTACACTAAAGACCCTAAAGATTCTTTATTAAAACCTGGGAAATTCATATGTGATGGATTAAGTTTTAAGGTAAGCAAGCTTATTATGATGGTGTGTTAGTTTCAATAGATAAGTAAAGTTTTTCAACAAAATTACTTTTTTCATCGATATTATTTTTTCTTTGAACAGTTTTATAACTAATTTAGTTGTTATGGTAAATTTGCACGATGTTTCAAAACACAAAAAAAATGAAATTTGACATCTGCTGCGTTTTGAGATTGATTACGGTAATTTCAAATGATAAATGATTGGGAAATTGTTCTAATACGATATGGGATCTATGCGACTTGAATAAGTTGAACAACTACTATTACACAAAGCTTCAACCATTATCCTTCACGTAATTTATGGAAGAGTAGTCAGGAATTCTGGAAAAAGCTTAATGCTCAAATAGTTCAAAATAGTAATAGTACAATTGTATGCGTATATAACGAAAAATATGACCTTGTAATTCAATGAAAATAGTAGACTAAAAGAGTAAACAATGAATCAGAAGTTCAGCAAAGGTCAATAGGGGTTAATATGAATTGAAATAAGTTATCAGACTTCCTTACACGTCAGAACAACCATTTAACAAAAATGACTATAGAGCTTGGGGTCTTAACAATATCTCCCATATTAGTAAATGACATTCCAGTTTAGTTTATGCTATTAATTATCATCAAGTGAGTGTTTTTTAAACCAATTCAGTTTTATATTCATTCATAATTTATTTGAACCGATAGTATTTTCTTGCAAATGACTCCTATATATATTAATGAGATATTGTTTCCATAAATTATTAAGATTTGATGATGATATTCACCTTTAAAGTCTATCATATAAACTGACTGAATAGTTAGAGTTAATAGCTGTCAAGATATTCCAACCGATAGTTTCACTTCACGGTTGATTTTTTAGTTACCATTCTTATTTATTATTTATTTTATTTGAACACATAAATATTGGTACAAGAGAGCGCCAATATATTTGCGCCACACAAAACAATGAAAATTCGAAGAGAGATAGAAAAAAAAACTAAGGAGCGCAAAAGAAAAGGAGAACGATAACGAAGAGATTGGTGTAAGGTAGTGTGGTAGTAACGAGGGAACGGAAAGGTACAATCAGAAGAAATCTTTCAGGTAAGGGAGACACAACCACTTTTTATGAAGAAAGTAAAAGAAGATTACAGCAGGATCACCACTGGCTTTTATTCTGAGCCATATCTGATAACGTCTCTAGCCACTGTGTAGCAACATCTCTCAGACCCCAACCAGGGAGTCGTGAAGGACCGACAGAAGCCAGTCCTTTGCAGCTTTCTTTCATACCACGACACCATGTCATGCACTGACCACCTCTCCGCTTCTTCCAACCAGTCCCAGCGTCGGCAAATAATGCACGACGTGGAATTCTCTGGGACGACATTCGTAGAACATGTCCAAGCCACCGAAGTCGGTGCTTCAAGATGGTGACACCAATTGAATTATCATCTCTGTGCCCGAATACACGATGCCGAACCTCTGCATTACTGACATGGTGTTGCCACTGAATGTCAGCAATCCTTCGGAGACAGCGATGATCGAACACAGAGAGTCGTCTAACGTCCTCAACTCGGAGAGGCCAGGTTTCACAAGCATAGAGCAAAACTGCTCTCACCGACGTGTTGTAGATCCGACCTTTTACAGCCAGACTAACATCACGAAGGCGCCAAAGATGGCCCAGATTGGCATAAGCCGCTCTGGCTTTCACTATACGTGCATTGATCTCATCACTCAAACCCCCACCAGCACTTATGCAGCTACCCAGATACATGAACTTCTCGACTACATCTATCTGCTCACCATCCAGGGTGAGTACAGGATTGGAATCCTGCCAGTCTTGTAGAAGTACTTTGCACTTCGAAGGTGCAAAGCACATACCATACCTACGGACACTGATTGCCAACTGATTAAGTGCGGATTGCGTGCCTTGGGCATTATCGCACAGTAAGACAATATCGTCCGCATACTCAAGGTCGAGAAGTCTTTCTCCAGGCAACAGATCCACACCACCATTACTTACATTCATCAGAGCTGTTTCCAGAATGTCATCGATGGCAAAGTTGAAGAGGAATGTTGAGATTGGGCAACCCTGCCTAACCCCACTACTCGAATGGAGCAATGGAGAGAGGTGGTTGTATGCCCTCACTCTACCTGAGGCGTTTTTATATAGGGCCTTTAGGATATTTATAAACTTCTCAGGCACACCCTTCTTTAATAGACAATCCCAGAGAACAGTCCTATCCAACGAATCGAAGGCAGCCCTGATGTCAAGGAACACTACGATTGTTGGTCTTTGATCAGTATGGCGGTGTTCTAACATTTGGCGGAGGTTGAAGATATGATCAATACATCCTCGACCAGAACGAAAACCAGCCTGCTCCTCGTGAGTCAATCTTTCTCGGGTTTTGAACAACCTACGAAGTATGACGGAAGCCAATAGCTTGGACGCAATCGGAAGTAGACTTATCCCCCGATAGTTGTTGCAGGAATGACGTGAACCCTTTTTAAAGATAGGGATAACTATCGACTCATTCCATAACGTTGGTACACTCTCTAGTTCCCAAACCTTTGTAAACAACGTCGTCAATTCCTTAGTCAAAAAGTCACCACCATCTTTAAAAAGAGCCGGAGGTAAGTCATTTGGGCCAGGTGATTTGTAACGCTTCAAGAGTTGGAGTTCCTTGCGGACTTCCTCCTCGTTTGGTGGATCAGTCGTCACCGACCATGGAGGGCAGGACAATCTGACCGATGTTGCCGGAGCAGCAGGCCAGTTGAACTGCCCTTCGAAAAATTCTGCCCATCGTCCAAGACGTCGATGGATGTTAGTGATTGGCATCCCATCATCCTCGCAGATTGTTTCACTCACACCAGACTTCTTGCTGCCAGTGGCTCGGATGAGCTGGAAGAGCTTCCGGTAGTTACCAGATGCAACTGCTGCTTCCAGCTCACTAGCACGCTCCGACCACCAGGCTTTTCGGTCCTTACGCAAGCTTTGCCCAAATTCCTTACGTAACATCCTTCGTTTATGGTCAAACTCACGGTCACCCGGAGTAAACCGACGGGCTTCAATAAGTTGTAAGGAACCAAAAGAAACCCAGTGCTTATAAGCGGGACGTTTCGCAAACCACAACTGACTGTTCCCGCCATTTTCATGGCGTCATGCAATTGCGACCAATGCTCATCTATACTTTTCGGTGGAGTGGTAGCTAGCCTAGAGGCTAGCTCGGTTCGATACTTATTTGCAACAGAAGTTGCAACCAGCTTGCTAATATCAATCCTTTGCTGGCGGTCACTTCGTTGTTCACTGAAAAGTAAGGCAAGATTGGCGCAGACCAAGGCATGGTTAGAGTCCAGATAGGTACTCCAAAAGGAGCGACAGTCTTTTACACAACCACGCCAGCGGTAGCTGATCGCGATGTGATCAATCTGAGTCCAGGCTTGGGGTGCAGAGGGAGGACGCCAGGTGGCACATCGGCGATGACTGTGCCGAAAGTTAGTGCTAGCCAGATACAGGTTGTGGTCTGTGCAAAGTTGCAGTAGACGGTCCCCGTTATCTGTCCTGCGACCAACGAGTCCCCATCGGCCACCTAAACGACTCTCTTCTGTGCCTAGACGCCCGACCTGAGCATTCAAGTCTCCGGCTAGTACTACAATATCTGTCGAACGCACTTTCTGGAGAAGAACAGATAACTGGTGGTAAAACTCATCCTTGATTGCATCCGGGCTGCAATCTGTCGGGGCATAGGCGGAGATGACGAAAAGACATCGTTTCTCACGCCGATTTCTTCTCACTTTGATGGAACTTTCTAACCTAACAGCACATAACCGACTGTTGATGAGGATTCAATCGACTAGTGCTGTCTCAGCTCTAGCGCTTAGTGCGACACCAACGCCAGCAAGACCAGACGAAGATGCCACAGGGCCCCGGATAAGCGCACGTAAAACAAGCTTTTCGAAGCGACAGATGGAGATCGAATTTGTAGTACTTCATCAGAGTCTTGAATACGGGTCTCGGATAGACAACAAACATCAATATTAAGACTTTCCAACGACATAGCCAGCCCTATCTGTTGTCCGACCTGCACTAGTGTGCGAACGTTGAAGGCAGCCAGTTTGAATGGTGCACGTGGTTTCAGAAAAACTGTTTCAGTTCTCGTTTTCGGTGGTAACATACAATTTTCAACCGGACAGTGACTCGAGAACGTTTAGATACAGTCGAATTTTCACCAAAGATGAGCCGCTGTATAAGTATAAAAGAGGGTGAATAATGTGGAAAATAATAATAATAATAATGATAATAATAATAATAATAATAATAACAATAATAACAATAATGACAATAATGGTAATAATAATAATATTATTAATAATGACAATAATAGTAATGATAATTATTTGAATTGATTGATTGTTTATCGGATCGAGAAAGGTAGTTGCCGTAGTAATAGAGTTCATTGTTTGTGTGTGGGCTGTGATACTGCCCGGGTGCCCAAACCGAAGCAGGTGGTTATCTTAGGGGGCCACACCCCGAGCCTTTGACCTAATGGCCTAACCCACAAGGCAGTGGAGCATCGTAAGGAGATGCAATCCCATGGTAGCCGGTGACCAACGATTGGTTCATACGCCATTTGTTCCCGCAGGATACTGGAGCCCATGTGCACTATTGGTTTGGGATCCGGTTAAAGCGCCGTACATTCGCTTTTCGTCCTCTCAATTTCGTAAACAACAGTAATGCCACGAGAAGGCAATGAGTAGGACTTCCCTGACAGAGGCTGTATACGCGCCGCCGTGTGAGAGTATTTCGAGAGGGAGAGCGGACTCTCCCCACTTTCTTCCGTACCAGGGCATTCGAGGGCTACCATTCTCATGAAAATAAACTAGAAGTCACTATTTTAACTGGCCCCTCAATATTCCAATATGGTTACATCGTTCATAATTTTTATTCCCTTACTTCACTTACTCTTTTCAAATCATATTCTCCATTTTTAATATTATTAACACTAGGTTTTTCATTTTTGCTGTTTATGTTGATGACCCCCTCTACGTATTGTAAACTGATGCGACCAATTATGGTATATATATCCCTGGTGTCTGAAAACATATAATTAAGAAATTCTTCTTCTCCTTTTAAGGTTGAACCTGGTCAACGTGTAGCTATTGTTGGTGAGAGTGGTACCGGAAAATCTACAATTGTTCGATTAGTCTACCGATTTTTTGATGTATCTAGTGGTAGTGTACTAGTCGGTGGTCAAGATGTTCGGTCAGTGAATTTGGAGAGTTTACGTCATGCAATTGCAGTGATACCACAGGTAGTTCTGTGAATAACAAATGCATACTTAAATTATTCAAGTGATTTGATTAGGTCAAACTGGTATAACATTTTATAAGGAAAGTTAAAATCTTAGCTATTGTTATTCAAGTGAATCGTTTGTTGTCAGCAAACTTTGCCTTAACGTAACTTATGTTCATCTAATATAATTATCTGTAGTTTTAATGGTAACAACATATCATTAGGTAACTGACTCTTTAAACACTTTAAGACAATTAAATTCCAACTATAGTAAGAACAAAAGTAAATGTCTCAGTAAGTATGTCACAACGTACGTATATACATCGGTTCAAGTTGCCATACCCCATTAGCACACAGAGATGAAATTGTCAGATCAAATCCAAAAATAGTAGAGGTAGCAACGGTATCAGCGGTAATAGGAAACATTAGGCATCGAAGACACGATTCGAGCAGACAATAAAAATCAGTGAAATGAAAGCAAAAAATGTCATGAGGAATTTGGAATCTCAGGGGAGGACAAAGAACTGACACACCTGTGCCACCGCAAAATATTTCCAGGCTTGTCATTAAAAGTTTCTAACTATTAGTTACTTAACTATGCGGACCCCAAACAGCTAGTCTCACCTATTAACATGGCTCATTTTACTTGTTTGTGCTATGCTTGGTTTGGCCGCTCGTAACTTTCTTCCAACTTAGTCCTACACTAGAAAACTCCCGTCGAGGTAGGCGATGATTGGGCATACGTGATATGTCCCAACCACCTCAGTTAGTGAAATTCTACTTTATCAGTCGATTTCCCATCTTTACCTGGTACTCTATTCCTAACCCTTCTTCGATTTGGGCACCTGGGCAGTATCATAACCCATACACAAATCATGTGACTTGTGTGGCGCATATGTATTCGGTGCCTCTTGTGCCAATAATTATGTGATCAAACAAACAAACTCAGGAATGGCTTATTCCGTGCTCCTAAAATACACGAGCAATGCTTCAAAGACATATATGGTCGAATACCTGTAACCTGCAAATAACTTCTATTCTTAATGGCCATGTTCCACACCCATAAAATAGAACAGAACAAACTGCTACGCAGTAAACTCGTCTTTTAGTTGCCAGACGCCTATGCTACATATGACGCGGGTTGTTATTAGCCAATTGAGCCTTTTGTATCTGTGCCAGACCATCAGTACTGATGAGACTCCCTAGATAAGTGAAGCGGTTGATGCGTTCAGCTACTTCACCCCCTATCACTAATTGAGGTGGTGATGGTGGAGAGAACCTCATCCCAAACGTGTCTGCATTGTTGATCAATGTGGTCAGAAGACTGCATTTTGTCAGTGACTTCACCAAGCAGAACTATATCATCTGTGTATTCTAGGTCAATGAGTGAATTTCTTGGTAGAAGATCAATCCCTGAAAAGTCAGACGATGATAGTGTTATTTCTAAAAGCCTATTTATGACAAAGTTAACTGAGAATAGAAGCGACAACCCTGACGAACACCACTTGAAGTAACCAATTGTGATCCCAGTTCGCCATACACTGACTCGACCAGCAGTGTTCGAGTAGAGCGCATGTTCACAGTTAATGTACTTCTTTGGTACATCTTTCAAAAACCGACGCTGTCACAGAACCTCACAATCAACGGAGAAATTTATTCCAACAGCTTTAAGCTGTAATATACACCATCTCACATGTTTACATTTTCGTAACTAACTTATTATCTAGTTTTAGTGTAACTATTCCCTTTTCCCACGATATACAAAGTAGTTAATTATGTCTCACCCATCCCCATCAATCCATGCCTCCTGTTGAGTTAATGAAATTCCCATACCTTTTCTCATAATTTGTTGACCAAAATCACTAAATTACATTCCTCAGTAGTTCACTGTTCTATAAATGTCCACGATTATATCGTCATCGAAATCAGCCAAATTCAACCAGCTATCCGTCACTGTTTCATATTTCGTGCAACATCCCAAGGACTGCTATTTTTAATCGGATTTCATATATCAAATTAAAATGTAGTTTTGCTAATTATATATATATATATATATATATATATATATATATATATATATATATATATATATATATATATATATATATATATATATATATATATATATATATAAGAACGCTTTATCAGTATCCATGTTCATTGTCCTGTTGTTTCATAGGATACGGTTTTGTTCCATAATACAATATTTTATAATCTCCAATACGGTAACTTGAAAGCAACTCCGGAGGAAGTTTACGAAGCTGCTCGTTTATCGAATGTAGCCAATGCAATTGAACGTATGCCACACGGATACGATACACAAGTAAGTGGAGTATTCTGTTTTTAAACCATATCATCAACTAGAAGTTAGTTATTTTATAAACTAGACAACCAACCCAATCTATTAAAAGTACCTTAACACTACAATGCGGAACTATGAATACTTGTGTATATTATATACTCTGCAGAAAAATGCCCAATCGCAATTTAATTATCCTGATGGGACACAAATTTCAGAGGCGCAGTTTTGGATCTTATATACCCCATATTAATCGTCGACATTTATCCGGTCTGAAATATAAATAAAATTTTATTACTAAAACGTTAATCGTGGTGATCTGATTGAGTTATGTAACGAATTTGTTCTAGTTGTTATGAAATTGCAAGTTTATAGCATATAGATGTAACTAAGCGCTGATCAGGATCATTTATTATTATATATTGTCCAATATCTTAACGGTTAAAAGATTCACCTTCGAGCTACACGTTAAGATACTACTCTGTTTACTTTATTTTGGATAGTCGGGTAGTAGGAAACAGCCGTGCCTCCAATAACTGACTAAATAAATTTATACTTCATAAATTCCTATTTATTAAGAATTAATACATTCAACATACTATAGTTGAATGAGTTAAAGATCAGTTCTAGCTTTTAGGTTGCATTTTATCAGTTTGATTTCAGTTGAGGTGCCATTAAAAACTAGCGGACATTGGAGAGCTCTATCACTGTACGTTACTCTTCAGCAATGCGAACCCACCATTATTCAAAACCAAGGGTCTTCATGTGTCACAGCAAACTCTAAACCTTTAGAACCCTTGATTTGGCGTCAAGCAGTTAGCAATTTGGACGACAATCGTCTAATGATATCAGAAACAAGTCACTACTGACGTGTCTGAACTCTATCAATCACGTGTTCTCAATAGAACTACAGGAACATCTTGAAGCAGGTCATTACAAACCTGACTATTATATTTATTGGAAAAGTTTTGAAGACTGGCTTTATTTTTAGCTCCTAATGATTAGACGTTCGCCTAGAGACCAGATGTTCCTTGGTTTTATCTCCGATTTGTTTGTTAGTACTCAATACTGAAGAGTTTCATACTGGAAGAAAACAGTTGTCCAGTACCCCCTGATTTGTAGTAATACCTCAACTGGGATCAATCTCTGATGAACATGACATACATTCACTTCGAATGATTGATCAGTTGTTCGTTTATTTTGATAATATGCATATTAAACTTACATTTAATTTTGGTTTTTCTTCGTAATCAAAGGTCGGAGAACGTGGTTTGAAATTGAGCGGTGGTGAAAAACAACGAATAGCGATTGCAAGGGCTCTACTGAAGAAAGCTCCAATTTTAGTTTATGACGAAGCAACGTCATCGTTAGATTCAATCACTGAACATGTATGTTCTTACATGTTCTCAATATTGATAACAATTTATTTTTCATTATAATCAAGGTCCCAACTAAGTGAATGTTTATAACTTCCAACTCATGGAAATGAGTTGTGGCTATTAATAAATATATAATGAGTGCCCCCAAATGCCCATGTACGGCCGAGAGCGGGCAGTCAGCTCTCCCTCCCGAAATGCTCTGATATGACCACGTGCATACAACAACTGCCAGGAAAGTCCTACTCACTGCCTTCTCGCGGTATTACTGTTGTTTACGTAAATTAGAGGACGAAAAGTGCATGTCCGGCACTTCAGCCGGTTTGGTGGATACGGAGGGTTCACCTAGGGGAGTTGGGAAAACTTGACTCCAAACCAGTGGTTCACATGTGCTCAAGGATCCTGAAGGAACAAATACCGTATGAATCTCTTGTTGGCAAACGACTACCATGGGACTGCATCTCCTGACGTTGCTCCACTGCCTTGTGGATTAGACTTTTAGGTCGAAGGCTCAGGGTGTGGCCCTCTAAGAAAATCACCTGCTTCGGTTTGAGCACTCGTGCAGTACTCCAGTCCTCACACAGATTGAATGATTTATGTGCCGCATATCTATTTGGTACCTCTTTGTACCAATGTTTATGTGTTTGAATAATTAATGAGAATTGCCGTTGTACACCAGATTTTATTTGTGACCAGACAAACCTCGTAACGGCTCTAGACGTAGATCAGATTACACAGAGTTACTCTAATTTATGTTGTATACGTATTAAGCTTGTATGTTACATCTGCACGAGTGCTCACTGGTCATTAAATTACGCAAACTTCTCGAATTTCAAATCAATTACCATGAAGAGTAAGTGGTGATGCGAAGTTTGTACGATTTGGTTAGCCTTACTTATCGTCCCTTACTCATAGATGAAATTCATTCTCCAGCATATCGATCTTCGATAAGTACTCCTTAAGGAGTTGTGTAAAAAAGTTAATTTCAAAACCGTGAAAAGGTGTTTGTTAGCTCTCAGTTTATTCAAGTTAGTTTTGTAGGGGTTTTAAGTATGGTGATATACTTCCCAGGTATCACTAATAAATTAACTTAAAGTAAGACTTTTAGAAAAGTAAAACGAAAGACAGTTATCATGTCAACAAATACAACCATCTACGTGTTCAAACACACGGCAGAAGAGGCAAATTGTTAATTAGCCAGGCTAGCTCATCATAATTTGTTTCGTTATGACGGAAGTCATCATTTGAGATATGTCCAGTAGGAAACATACTAAGATATTTTCCTCATTAAATTCGCTGATAGTTTGTTATTGAAAATGCATTTCGTCCTTGAAATGAACCGAAGCTTAGTCGGATGCAGAAATCTTCACCCTGATATAATAGGTCTTAAAATTCATCACCTTTCCAATGTTGTCAGTCGATCAACTTTTATTTCTTCAAGATAAAATGCATGGTAAATCTCAGTTACGACACTATTCCGATTCATCGTACACAGTCTATATGAGATACCTTAATGATACGTGGCTAACAACATTCCTGATAATAGTTTATGAATCACTGACACTTGGTGAAAGTCAAGTAAATCAATCCTATATATACATATATATACTTTTTTTCTTTTTCTTACTAAAATATTATAAACAAATTATGTAGACTATTCTTCAACGATTAGCAGAAGTTACACCTGGAATTACATCACTTGTAATCGCTCATCGTTTAAGCACAATAATTGATGCTGATGAAATTTTAGTCTTACGAAATGGTCGTGTATCTGAACGTGGTACGCACTCCAGTTTACTATCACAACCGGATTCATATTATAGACAACTTTGGGATCAACAACGAAGTGGAATATTACCTACTAATATTACGAGTACTACCGATAATTGTAACAGCAATGATAATCATAAAATATCCAATTCGGACAGTTAAGATACAAACACCTAAGGCACTACGTATAAATATGATGGTTTGAGCTTTTCTTGAATTTTGTCTTCTATAATAATTTTCTCCATGCCTACACTTGTTTGATAGTTTCAGTTTTATTATTTTCTATCCATTTTACTAACTTATTCGTACTTGAACAGAATTATTTTATCTTATGTTTTTCTGTTTATGTTAGATGAATAGTTAACAAACTACGTAACGTATTTGATTTGTTTTCATGGTTGTTTGTATCACAGGATAACTTTGTAAAGAAACAGACTGTATAATACATTTTGTTACACGCACACTGATTTTTCTACCAACTAGATCATCACAATTGATGAATATGGAATTTATTCCAGTTTTGTCACTTAAAACTACCATCAAATTGATTATATCTAAACTGTAGTATAAAAAATTGATGCTTTAAATGAAATTGGCTGAAAACTCAGGACCTATCAAGTCAGTAAGACTGGTGGTCACATAGGAACTCTGAAATATAGGATTTAATTACCTTTTGGTATGCTAATACTCGGCAAACCTATTGATTCCATAAAATATATTCATTCAGTTAGTAAATCGAATGGATTGTGCACGTGAACGTTGCCATCACTGTTTTATCGGATCAGTGTAAAGTGTAAATTTCAATCCATCAGAACTTCCACTGCCATTGTGCTTCAGTTTTGATAAGGAAGGAAATTATGCTCCCAGCTAATGGTTTAAATGAATATAATATTCATTAATGTAGATAGCAGTAGACCTAGAAAATATGATATCCTGTCCAGAGAAAGATTCCATCACTTTGAATAAAGTCACAGTAATAGGTGTTATATGAAATTAAGTGACGTAATTACGTAGTCCCTATTCAACATCAATTAAGCAACCACTATTCGGAAACAAAACTCATGAAACTCAAATGATGAGTTGATCAGAATGTAGAAAATGACAAAGATATAGTGAGTCATTTAGTAAAAGTTTTGTTCCCCGAGTTGGATATTTTGGTGGTGGAGTTTTCATTGTTCTTGTGATCATCAGGACAAAATTCGGGTAGAAATGAAGTGTTTGAATTTGTTCATATATGACTCTCGATCTTGATTGGTTATTGTTGACCTTTAATCTGTCATTGTTAAATTTGATTGTACCACACCATGATTTTTCTGAATGGTTGATAAATTGGATCGGTCAACAACAACCACTCAAGCTGTGAGTCATATGTGGAAAAATCCGAACACTTAACTTTTACCTGAAATTTGCGCTGATTTTTAGATGAGCAATGAAAGTTTCACGACCAAACCATCCAGCTCAGAAAACGAAACGTCACCTGAGTGACAAATTTACTTCAAGTGGAAAATAACATTTATTTAACATGCATATATTCAACTCATATATGAACAACAACGTTCATCAAAAATCCAACAATTCTATTTTCTGGTTAATAGCATTATAGATCAACGGCTTCGATACTGGGATAAACTGGTGTGTGATTAGTTTGATAACTTCTTGTGCTACAACTCCACCCATAAATGCAACCACTGAATGCAGCTCATTACCACGGAACTGACACATTTCCTGTAGTTTAGAAAAGAAGGTAGAAGTGGCGCGGCTTTAACTGATTGCAGAAAAAATAATTATATATATATATATATATATATATATATATATATATATATATATAGTATGTATATAGATATTATTGTATCTTAGAATATGAAGTTCTAATTGAACATGATATTGTTCTCTTAAATGGAAATAATAGCGTTGCTATTAAGTTCAAAAAACTTCCACAGGATCCGAGTATTAATCATTTCAAAGTATTACAATTCTAGTTTGGCACAATTATGTGTCGACTCAAGTTGTTATATTATATTGATTAAAAACCTAAATAACAATATAATTTAGTACCAATGATAACGAAAAAGTTTATGATTTGAGAATACAGTTTTTAAAAAACAAAAGGAATTTATAAAGTAAGATAAGAAGTGAATACAATTGCGTATATGTGACCGATTCTGCACTATATTACTCAACCCCTCTAATATCTGGTTGCGGTAATGTCTCAGACCGGTTTGCCAACTTCATCGATTAAAAAAAATATTATTGAAAAGCAAAATCTAGAAGAAGGTGGAAAATGTATGTATTGGTGGGTCTCCAATCACTGACATTGATTATTGTGCAAATCCCAAAAAGGTAGTTTACTCCTGATAACACAATCTGAATCAACAAGAATATGTTTTGGCTTTGGATCCTACAGTGGATACTTGATTCTGGATCAGCAAATAACTAGATTGGTCGGTCCTAATATTTGATCAAATGACACACTTGAATTAATTATCTGGCTAGCCATCAAAAACTACAAATATATCATAGCACAACAGTAAATTAACACATAAAATGCAGTCACAAAGTGGAGTTGAATTGAAACACAAGTGGGGTCAGTTTTACACGTAAAATAGTGTTTTATGTTTACTGTAACTAGGTGTGTCTGTCTTTGCTCATTCACCGATCAAAGACTACTCCCATCTAACAGGTCTGGGCCTTTTAAAGACATTCAGAGAACACAGACTGATCATTGTTGTATATCACATTGCTAATTCGTTTTTATCAGTATCACATACCGTAGGAAATATAATTAAGTAAACACATTACCTCTAAATAATCTGTGCTAACACGATTCGATGCAATCCCAAACGACTGGAGAACACGATTTAAGTGTATCCGTAACGTTGGTAAGTCAGATTCAATGATGTTCATGTCTAACTGTTCAGAATTTGTAGCGGAGAATTGTTCTTCACGTGGCACTGAAATTCCAGTTGAGTTTTGATTTTGGTTGTTAGCACTGAATTTAAATGTGGTAGTATAAGGCTGTGAGCTACCAGGCCATCGTCCAGTTTCCATCAGAAAACTACTAGCACCTCTAAGAACTAAATACCACAACATGGAATCATTTTCTTTGTGTGTTGGGAGTAAGGCTAAAAGAAAATACCAGAGTTCATATATTGTATACGGGCAAGCCACTAGAATTCGTAATATATAATAAGTGACTGTGTAAATATGCTCGACAAAAGACAGCCATCAAGAAGTTTGAGTTGCTTTTTTTAAAGTATTTAGCCTATTGCGAAATAGTACACTAATGCTTTAAATTAGGAGGTATTAAATCCAAGTTTCTAGTAAAACTACCATAACTAAGCAGCAAAAATATCTGACCGAAGAATTGCAAATATTCTCTTATTTTAGTTATTGAATATGGGGATTGATGAATCAATGCACATTTGTGACTATAGTTAATTGACATTGTAATCCAAAAATTCCGGTATGCTGCAGACCAAATGAAGTGGAAATCACTAGCTGCTTCATAGCTAGTACTCATAAAGTAGAGTAGATTCTTAAAAATCTTAAAGGTTAGTACTAGATTCATAGTGGAGCTATGTTACTTTGGAAATAAACACCTGAAAAAAATTCAGCGTCTACAAGACAACTTTTGTTGCCATAATGAAAAACGAGTATGACTTGCTTAGAATAAAATCATTGATACTGATAAAGAAACACAAATTTAAATAATAAATAGGAATTTACTAAGATCGTCTGAACGCGCTGGTGAAAGTTTCATTTCCTCTTCTAATGAACGACAACGTACAACATTCAAGAAGCTTGCATTTTTAACTGAAAATAATGCATTAAAATGTTAATCAACAAATGAAAAGAAAATAAAGTTCAAAATCTGAACAGTCTAATTACAGTTAGATTTTTCGCAAGCGAAAATAGTCATCGTTTCAAAATACCACTAAATGCTTATATCGAGACGAGAGAGTTTACGTTTGGATGTATGTAACAAAGTATTGAATGCCTACGTCCAAATAATTTGCTTAAAATTAGATATTTACAATGAAACACCGAAGAAAGTTTATAATCAAAATAACCACAGCAGAATAATAGGACAGTCATTGAAAACATAATAGAAATACACACTTTGATTTCCGCAGTCGATTAGTATCACTAACCCTCACACATAAACGGTACTCTATACATTCATTAAAACTTACTTGCCGACTTACATTACTAATCAACATAATAATGATTAACAATTTATTAGTTTTGAGGGTAATTTCACCTTTCATGCGAAATTTTCCAGACTATATGCTTATCTTATAATATCTAATTTATTGATTTAGATAAATATGTTACTACAGTGAAGATAAAGAAACATCTTTACATTTCTCTAGAATATATTTCGAACATATAAACAATCAAAACAGCTATTCAGTCATAAGTAATGCAGAACCTGGAGCACACATTTGTGTATCCTTTCGAGCTGAAATACCATATAAACACTAAGTTGAAATAACCAAAACAAGTTCCAGAGTAGAAGAACTAGTAACAGTACTAATTATAGTAAAAAAGACTAGGCACAGACTGTATGATTCAGGAAAGACTGAATTGTTACGATAAAAGGTAGATAATTTTTACACTTAAGATCCAAGAATCTGTGCAACTACAACTGACTCTGAAACGCTCCACTCAGTGGTTAGAATACTCGAGGAGGACCACAACTAATTAGTTGCACCTACACGGTACAGTTCAACAGCCAATGATATAAAACAACTGAATTGACATTGTAAACTCTGTTTTTCTAGAATTCGTTTTGTGGCAATCTGTATTTAGCTCGAAAATATTAACATCATAAATATTAAGAACGAAAGCTTTTCGAGGACTCACCAAAAAGACGTACGTCGTCTACAGAGATATCAGGAAACTGAAATGTAAAAAATAAAGTAGGTATAGTCGCCAGGTTCAAGTCCCAATGTGAACATCGAAATTGTGATTTAGGTTTATCTTTATAAATGCTCTCCATCATTAAAGCCTGTGTCTCAGAGTTAGAAAAAATAATAAAAAACGAGCTGCTGCATAGTATCTTCGACTTTTGTTAAGGAGATGAAAATCTCGCTGAGGTCAAAGGTGGTCGCTGTTGTATCTGTTCTGGTATTAAGTCAGCTAAAAGATCACTTGAATTAATTTTACAACTACGTTACGCGGTACAATTAGATTAGGAAATGACTCAAACTAGTCCTGATGCAAAATCACGCAATTGGTAGGAGAGAAATCCATATATCTCACATTTTGGCATCACCATTAAAGATATGGAACGAACGGCATTTTATTGTTTTTGAAATCTTTATCATTTGTATCCATAGAATCGATGACAAAAAGTTCAGGTTGGATATTAATTCCAGAAAATTCAGATAACGAATAGCTACTAAGACCAAGGCATGTGTAAAAAATAAATTCTTGTTATAATATAGAATGCGA